TATTCATGAAAAGTGGAAACTTCTGGACGAAGTTAGGAAATTAAGAGAGATATGTTATGATCTATCCACGATTGACAGAACAAAAGTAGGAGTGTGAGGGATAGTCTACATACAACTGCAGTAAGGCACATGACGTTGACCAGTCCACTTTGAGTTGTCAAGAAGACTATGAAAAATAACTTTGATTAAATAGCAACGTTGAAAAGCAACAGTAACGCCAACATTAGAATTTTTTTCTTAAAACTTCTTTAAAAATAAAACATTCCAACCAGAACATAAGTTTTTGCTAGCCAAATAAGACTATAATAGAAACATAATAAACTAATAAAAATTTGTCTTCCTCCCATACTACGTTCACTGCTACAGTGATAGTGAAAAACACAGAAACAACCTATAGAAGACACTCAGTTAAGCTTAAGCCACACAAAAACATACATAAAAATAATCATCTATGACAAAAGAAAACCAGAAGAAACAGAGTTACAGAGAGAATTAACGATTCTGAATAAATAATCAAGTATGGCAAAAAAAGAGTAGCTTTAGATGCCAGGACAAATCAACAGAAAATAAAACGGTTATATAGTATCATCAAATTCTTCCATGAGAAAATACCTTTTAGTTGGACGGGCCTTCAACTGCGACTCTTTCTCAAGGCCAATTTTGTCGTTTAAACCCAACTTTAAATCAGGCATTCCAGAAAGAAAGCACTTCATAAGAATCTTCCCAGTTACATCACAACGCAAAACACTACCTATGATCACCAATAGTTATAAGGTTCCATGAGAGGTTTTGATAAAGAAAACACTTCCAAAGCAATTAACTACCTTTCGAAGACATAAGAAGGTTTACACTTTCAACAATATCCAAGAAGACCTGCAGGGAGAATGTCCAGAACTCAGTTGGTTGCTATACGCATGCAAGCAAAAAAGACTAGATCGTCATTCACCTCATTCTTTTTATATACAAGGCCTTCCCTTCGCCAACCAACAGCACCTGTAACTTGCAAAGTTGCATTTGGGACAGGTTTATCTGTAGCCTTTTTTTCCATACGGTGCAGAAAAAGAAAAATGAAAGGACTTCAGTAAACATCACAAGTATGCAAACAGACATTTATTCCTCTTAAAAAAGTACTTTTCTTTCTTTTGCTGGAAGAGAAAATTTTATTGATTTAGATGAGAAATCTTCTCAAGAAATACAAACGGAGAGCAAATTATAAAGGGTGAGAAAGAAATGTGAAAGAAATTGAGAGAGAGACTGCAATTTTACAGCTAAGCTCCCATAACATGCTCAAATTCAGGCTTATCCCACCAGCCGTTTTGGAAAATACATATACTATCTAACCTTGGATGAAAAAGGCGAGCGAACTCCTTCCTGTGTGATATATAGTTTAAGAATTTCAGGCGAGAGGTTTTGTGGGTAACCAAAATCCATTATTTCTGCAATTGCAAGGCAGATATCAACCTTCCACTCATTTCCATGACAGAAAAACCACTAGTTTAGTAAAGAAACAAATATGTCGTGCATGTCGATTGTAAGCATATGCATACAATTCTAGTAATACACACACACACACATTTCAAACAACAAAGAGATTAAGCCTCTTATTAATTGATTCAAACAGGATCTCTACTAGGAAACTGAGAATCACGCAGCAAAGTAATTAACAAAGACTTGATTCTTCAAGATGCATGAGGATATAATTAACATAGATGACAGTAAATTCTCATGCTGAACACTTCAGGGAAAAAAGGGTATTTATCCTTGGATAATCTAGTAATTGAAAAACTCAGTCACGAAAATAAAATGGAACTTTTCGCTGTCACAGTACATAGTCATATCACATATTTCATAACCCTATGCAACATATTAATCTGAAGAGGAAGGCACAATTAGTAGCAATCATATCCCTTAGTGCAAAA